CCCCCCCCCCCCCCTCGCAACCTCATGATCGTGTCTGCCTCGAAAGAAAATCCAAAACAAAAAGGAAAAACGAAAATTCTCACATCCCCCCCTCCGATTTTCGAATCACACGCCAATTTCCTAAAGTATAAATCCTTAAAGAGTTAGAAACAATTTTGTACTTTACAAACACGCAACGAACGCAGGCGCGCGGAATATATGAAAAAAAAGCGCATCTCAAAAAATTAAATAATGTTCCCCATTTAATATTTGTATCATTTGTGTTCACAATTTTAATCTCCATATTATTCAAAAAATAATTGAAATATACTCACTAATTCCTGCATCGAGTCACCTGTCATAACGATAATCGTCCCCTCAATACCGAACTACATTTGGCTAGACAATTGGAATGCCTGATCAAATTTTAATAACTTTCTATTTCCTTAATGATTTTTGTTCATCAACGCACAACGGCCTCGATGCACGAAGATGGAGATTCCAAGGTATAAAAGTATAAAAATGCATTTGATGATTAAAAAACACGTTATCGGTTATTTTGTTTGTCATGATTTTCCTCTTATTGCGAAACAAAAATTGCGCGCTAAAAACCAGGTGACTCAATCCTCGACAATCCGTCGACGACAATCACCCAGTGATGATTATTACTGAACATTACTCCAAGAATTTGGTATGAATATCTCGACAAGCTTCAATTATGCCTCGAAAGAATCATGAGATTGATCTACTCGAGACGTGCTTTGTAGCTGGTCTTCCATATTTCGGCGAGCGTGACAGCACTGTGGAACCTGTGGAAGATGCAGAGAGGCAGTGTGACCCTCTGAACAATGGTCCACGACAAGTAACCATAGAAATCAAGTTGAACAGGATTGGCAATGACCTTCTGTCCCTCGAATGTGTAAATAACCCACATTGCGACATTGCAAATAAGAAGGAATGTTACAATCTGACGACCTGGCTTGCTGCGATCGTGCTCAGGCAGATGTACACGCCTACGTGATACATCAGCGATGAAGAGCATCTGAAGAACAACTTGTCCAACAGCAAGTAAGCCAGTTACCATGACGAGTAAATTGGGCTCGTGAGTGAATGCAGCGAGTGAACCAGCGATAACACTGAATACAGCGTAGAGGAAGAGACCGAATGCCGATATACGGAGGAGAATGTCGTTGAGATCACTCTGCTCCTCGGCTTTGAACTTGAGAGATTGAACACGACAGAAGCCGATTATTATGGCGATTATGGAGAGGGCCATGAGGACACAGTGGGACACGTCGGCCAGGTAGATTGCGAGGAGACCGAAGGAGGGGTGGTGGATCAGGACGAAGAAGAGGATGAGGCAGATGAGGGAGCCTACCAGCAGGAAGAGGCCTAGGAAGAGGCCTTTGCTTGCACCCACGCAGTCTACTCTGCCGTGACCTGAAACAAAATTGAGGGTTTATGGTACTTTTGGTTGGACACGGGTGAAAATTCTGAGGAAATTTCGAATCTTAGTTAAGGACACACATGAAAGGAGGGAGGACAAGTCAAGGAGTTTGTTAATGGAGAGAATTGATTTTGATACTGGAATATTCAAATTGTTATAAGAGAGATCAAGACAGTTTTCTTATTATGTGGATTGGGATGTTGGAAGATTTTTGCCTTGCAACTCGTAGATGATTACTAGTTTTGGTACGAGAGCAGTTGAGAAGGAGATTAGTATAAGTGAGACTAATAATCTTTTTTGTTAAGCCAAATTTCCTAACAATTGTTAGCGTTCTTTAGAAAACTGCTTTTATCAAAAATCGGAGAAAATTCGTGGATTTTCTACAAAATTTAGAAAAGTCTACGTTTATCTGAAGAAAAAATTTGAGAAGATTCTGAGGTAACAAATCGTCATTTCCAAATATGAAGAAGAATAATGAAAAGAAAGGAATTGGCTTTTAACTCGTAAACTGTGATGCTAACTCGATTTTGACTATTGGCCATTTTTCAATGAATATCTCGAAACCTAGGACCGATAGGAAAGTTGTTGTCATGTCTTTGTGTAGGGCGAATTGAGGGCTAGAAAGAAGGTCATAATATATTACATATTTCTCGGAAACTCAGCTACGGGCTAAGTCGGCTTAGACAGTTTTACCGCTTCGCTACTGAATTGATAAGTAGATCAATACAATGACCCGGGACTAATAATTCACATTCTCTACCACTCCACGAAGCTTATTCATCAAGAAAATATCAAACAAATAAACCGAATTAACAAAATAACCATAAACTCACCAGCATGAGCTAATGCAACAGCACGTCTCGACAACATAGCCTCGAGCCTGCGTTCAAGATCAGCCTCAGCCTGATGTGGCCAGCGTGGATGGCGTCCAATGTGCTTCCACATGACGTAGATAACAGCAGCACCAATCAAGCTGTACTCAATGATAAATGGAAACAGGTACGGAGCAGCTTGCTGCACAATGTTCCCCATGATGTTGACCCTTCCGCAAGAGTCATTGGTCTGCCGAAGGTCCTGGAGGAAAGCATAGCTAGGGGTGTAGATGGTGCTGGCATTGCTAGCCATAGTCTGATTGATTGTGTCAAAGAACTGGGGAATGTCACTCTTGCTGGCTGTTGCAGGGGCATCTCCAAAGTCCCACAGGAATGGAGCGAACGATGTCAGTGGGGATGATGTCGGGGCGGGAGGTGCCATTGTTGTTGTTGTCGTTGTTGTTGTTGTTGTGCTGGTAGTAGTAGTGGTAGTCATTCTTGTCGTGATATTTGGCTTTATTGTGCTGGTTAATGCGTCGAGAATCGTTGACAATGTGGGTCGAGTTGTTGTGGTGGTTGTTGTAGTGGTGCTGGGAGTGGTTGTTGGCATCATTCGGAGGGTCGTTGTCGAGGGGGTTGTTGAGGTGCTAGTGGTGAAGGTCGATGCTGTTGAAGTGGTACCACTGGTGATGGCACGAGCGACGGAACGAGCCGTCGAACGGGCGTAACGACCCACTGATGCTACTGTTGTTCTCATGAAGCGGTTCGTTGTTTTTGGGTGGAAGGTGTTGATGGTCCGCAGGGTCGAACTCACTGGGGCCAATCGCAACTGTGCCATGTCACGGGATATCTCACCGGTGTACACATCTGCGTTCGATATCGCGTGGTTCTTGATGCTCTCTGTGAAATTATGGTTTTACGTGATTGCAGGGTTGGGGGGTGAATACTCGACAGCTAGGGGAGTACGTGGGCTTTATCGAAATTCTATTGATGCAAGGGGAAAAGTACTTTCGTCACAATCTATTGTAAGTAAATTGTCTGCTAATAAATTCGCAATTTACTTACGAATGGAATTTTTGGGGGGATGTATTTTAAATTGAATTCAATGATTTATTGAATGCAATCAATCTCATGATCGAACTCAGTCAAAATGCGCGGATGAAAAATTTAATTCGCTAGACAATTCTATTGGATTTCTATTGAATTTTTTATTAGTTTTTTGGTCGATTCTGTTAAAATTTTCAATGTAAAATATTCTGCAGAAAATATCAAATAGTTCGATTTTTCTATACTTAGTCTATACAGACATTTTCTATTGAATTTCCTCAGCTGAAATTTTCGTTTTTTGGTTTGATTTTCTTAATGAGAAGAAAAGAAAAATAGAATGAAAAAATCTAAAAATTACATATTGACACAAAAAATGGGAAATTTCGGATTTGACGGATACAATGCTTCCATTCGGGAGCGAAACGCGCGTTTCTAGTGCGTTTTTCTAATAGGAATGTTGAATGATAAATATTCCTATAGGAAAAGTTTCTATTGGACATATTCCATTACAAAACGCGAAGTAAAGTTGGAAAATTTAATATATTTAATATAATTTATAATTAATATAATTTGCAATAAAAATCGAATAGACTTTTGTATCGAATTCGCTAGGTTTTTAAATTCTTCCAAATTCTCAAATTTTTTAATTCCTCCAGTTGATCTAGTTCTCTCTTCTAAACAAACCTCTCACGACTGACTCATATTTGATATGCTAAGCTAACATTAAATTAAAACTCAACCAATCCATAAATTTCGCAAATTGCACTCTCACGTGCTGATGTATTGCCACGACAATCAATTTTGAATGCGAATAAATGAAATGATTCCGCCTCATAAGATGGCTTTGAAGATCAATCGAAACTCACCAATTAGACTGATGTCTGGCTTTCCAATCTTCCTGCCGTATTGGGAGATCTCTTTGAGACTTTCAAATACAAGGGTTCGCACCCATACACATATGTTTGTCGCTACAACGTGCATCAGACCAAAACGAGCGATGACTTTGAAGCGGTGGATATTGAGCTAAAGTTATTAAACAAATGGTATTATTAATCATTCTCATTCGAAGAGCATTTCCTTCAATTGAAATTCAGAAACTCTGGGGCCGTTAATGGTTATGCTGAATACAGAGTTGACTCTGGTGAACTAAAAATCTCCCGTAAAGTTTCGTAATTAAATCGCTCCTTCGAGGAATATTCAACGAATCGACTTTCCAAAGTTATTGAATTGCAAAGTTGTCAACTTACTCTTGAATTCATGAAGATAAAGTACATTTGCATGAACGTAAAGATCATCTGTAAAATTGGATTGACTCCCTGGAGGATCTGGAAGCAGGGTGATGTGAAGGGTACCTCAAAGAATAGCCCAAACTCAAGACCATTGTACACCATCGTTCCCAATCCAAATGCTGGAATGTTGAATGCAGTAATTTAGGACAGCATTGACAAAGGGACATTTTCAATTGTCAACAAAAATTAGAGCGGGTCAATTACCAATGGCACCGATTCTCAGGAAAAAGCTTCCATGGCTGTGATCATTCTGCGATGTTTTGCGCTTTCGTAGAACTCGGGTGGAGACACCTGCCTCAACATCAGCTGCATCCTGAAGGCACAATTGGCATGTTAATAAAGCGACCAAATGACACCATTCTATTCTAGATCCAAGGGCAACAATCAGAAGTGATATTGAATCGACCCAGTAGTCAAGTTTCTGCGACTACGTGACTCCCTCGCTAAACACAAAACCACGTCTTTACACTAAACTCACATTTTCCCACTCTATCTGTGAATGTATTTTAAGAAAACAGCACATGTCCACCATAAAAGATTAGTGGACTTACGTCAGACATTATTTTTCCACCTAAAAGCGTCGAAATACTTGATAAAATTGAAACAATTACCTGAAAATCTTTCTTATTCTTTCCATTCTTTGAGTCCTTTTTATCCTTCTTATCCTTCTTCTTGCTTTTGTCTTTAGGTTCTTTCGGTGGTTTTGGGGGCTTGGGCGGTGGTGGTGGTGTTTCAACGCCCCTTGAGCAACAGGCGCTCTCTTGAAGAAGGAAACAGAATACGTACAGGAGAAAGAGGATGCTCATGCCGTAGAGGTAAGTGAAGAAACCCTCGAAGTACCATAGTGGTAGTTTGTGAGTGACCACGTCACTTATCACGTATGCTATGCAGACAACTACCAGGAGTTTAGCGTAGATGAAGCTCATGATGATGAAGAGTGAAGTCCTACGCAGAACAACACAAAACAAGTTGAATTAGAAAATCGAACGTTACAAGAGCAGTCATTTTTCGGTTTGGAACGCTACACTCGCGGTACACTTGCGGTCATTTTAGCCATAATCCCTTACCCCTTGTTCTCGGGGAGTTTCACTCTACTATTTCGCCGCCTGGGCATGGTTTTGGGGGCCCCATTGCCCTCAGCCTCGACAAACGGCACAATTTCCGTCTCCATGACAAACTGATATGTAACTCGGGCGATTGAAGACCAGTGCCTCACACAATGTCCTTCAAGCAAAAGTCTTTTTTTACAATTCCCCGAGTTTTTATCATCGCGTTAACAGCAACGTTGCTTGATCCACGCGCTCTAGACGACAACTGAACGCTTACTGAAGTAAACCCACCGTAAAGTTTCTATTTCTGTTTAATACCAGCGTCCAGTTTAAACAACCAACGCATTGGAATAACAAAAGTCCAGCGGGTGCGTCTGTTCTTCGACTGGCTTCCGGCCAAACTGAACCACTCGACTTCGTCATCAATAATTCTCAATGTTTATTTCACATTTTCTCACTTTATTATTGAATCAATGCGCATGATCGCACAGAGGGGTCTCATCGAATTGCATTAGGGCTGAGTTTATTCCGTAATTATGTCATGATATTTCCCGGAGAACTGCATCCGTTCGGCCTTCGGAAAACTTCTCTTGTGCACCTTCTGTGGTGGGCGTTTAATCGATATTTCAAAATCTGTGGCATAAGGTCCATAACAGAAGTTTTCATCAAGGTAATTGAAGTAAGGTGAAGTGTTTTGTTGGAGTTTATTAAGTTTAATCGTTCTTGGGGGGTAATGATTTCTGCGGAGGGCAATGAAGCTCAGTGACCTGAGCGCTATATTCACATTCATCCTCGCGAATAATTAATACGGTCTTACGTTGCTGAGAGGAGGTTCACTTAATTATTGGAGCGGATGGTCTAGATTCAATTAGCCATTACAACTTTTTCAGTATTTTTAAGAATTAAATCAATCTAGTAATCTTCAAATTACCAGTGCATTTGTTTTTCCTGGGGAGAAATAGACAATTCCGGGATGTTCTTAGACATTTTAATTAAAGCAGAGTTAATTTTGCGGTTTCCACAGTTTTTGTTGGTAAATAATTATTAAATTGAGGGGTAAATGAGACTCTGGTGGTTAAAATGAAGAGATTAATTATTTTTCTACTGAGAGAATGCCCAGACAAATTATTTAATGACCCTACAATTATTTAATTGTTCATTCATTTATTAGAGCGGATGGTCTAGATTCAATTATCCATTAGATCTTTTTCTACATTTTTAAACAAGAAATTAAACGATTAATCACAATTTTAATAATATATTCGTTTTTCTCAGGGGGAAAAAATTGACAATTTCCAAATTATCTTCAACATTTTAGTTGAGAACGAATTAATTCCGTTGAAAAAATTTTTGTTAGTGAATAATTATTAAATTGAAGGAAACATGAGACTCAAGAGATTAATTATTTTTCTCCTGAGAGAAAGCCCAATAAATTATTTAATGACTACAATTATTTAATTGTTTATGCACTTATTGAAGTCGATGCTCTAGCCTCAATTGTTTTCCTACATTTTTAAACAACGAAATGAATCGATTCATCTGCAATTTTAATAATCACTGAGAGAAAAAACTAGCTCTGCCGAAAATCAATATGTTCCATGTGAGAATTTTAACCTATTGTACGACAATTATTAGATCTGAGAGAACTCTCTAGGTTTACACCATAAAAAGAATACATTGACGAAGAAAGAATATTTTTTTTCAAAAAAAAAAATGGTCTCGAAATTATTTAGTTTTGCCAATAACACAGTTTTCGACGAGAAAATTATGATGTAGTTTTAGCTTGAAATTATCATTTGTTCCGTGGAAATTATAAGTATTTAATGAATAACGATATGCACGAGTCAATACCATTCACTTAATAAAACGGGAGCCTCTTACAATTCCCTGTAAAACGAATGTATTTACCCGAAAGACATGAATGTCCCACGAGAACAATTACTGCTACCAGAATTATAATATTTTGGTGGAAACTTTTGTTTTCCACAAGTAAATTGATTCAACACGGCGAACAGATTCAACCCGAACAAATTTTTTCGCTCAGTGGAAAAAAGTAATGCAAAAAAAAATCGACAATTTCCAAAATTCCCCCAATCTAATTAAAGAACAATTAATTCCGCAATTTAAACAGTTTTTGTCAATGCGACATTGACATTTAAGATGAAGAGATTAATGTTTTTTCTCCCGATAGAAAGCCCCAACAAATTGCGAGCTACTCTCGAGTAAATAAAACCCAGGGTTAACGGGTCGCTCTAATTGCCATCATGTTCACCGTCAAGTTCCTTCAGGGAATCTGACCGAGTGAGATCACGACCTGTCACCATCATTTTCTCCATTTCATCCTCTTTTTGTTCTCTCGTTCCCCCTTCCTCCCTGCCCCTTCCATGGTGTCTGAGGCGACAACCGTAAGTGGAAACAGTAGTGCATGGCACAGACTCCGAACGGTCCAGGCAGCCCTGGTCGATACCTCCAAGTACCTACTTTCCACTCCCTACTCGACTCCCACCCCTTTTAACGTATAGCGCGCGCCTCATTCCCTCCTTCACCTCTCTGTATCCGCTGTCTCTCATCTGTCTCACACCATTGCATCCTTGTTACGTACGAAATTCACCCGTTACGAGGAGCCACGGACCCTCAATTGTTCGAGGTAAATGAGTGAATAAAACACTTGACACATTTTGCACACAAGCACGTAAAAAAAATTAACAAAAAAATGGCAATTGGCCGAATTAACTGGCGAATTAATAGTGAATTGTTCAAATTAATTCGCGAACTAATAGCGAATTGTTCGAATTAATTCGCGAATTGATGGAATTAATTCGCAACCATCGATACGAGTGACACAACAAGACTGACACAAGTACTTCTGCATCACTCGCAATCCCTTCCCCTCATTCTTTCGTGAATTGCGTCTCGGGGAAGTTGAAATTCGAGAACTCGTTCAACTCCAGGTATCCACTTACGGTTATTCCCCCCTTTCCCATCCAGCAATCGCATCTTAACCAGATCGATGACAACTAGTTCTGTGGTATACAGTTGGAGTCATGGGTATGGAGTGTTCATGAATTACTCATGACCCCACCTCCCCCCCTATTTAGCCTCCATTCAGTAGATTCCCAGAACTCTGAAATTGTCATTAGCAAAGTGCTGATAATTTGCGAGCTCTCGTCACTGAAATTTCACGCCGATAGAGAGGATTAGTTATTATTAACAAATGGACTTGGTTGGATGCTAATGTTCACTCGTTAATAGTTAAGGAATGGATATTTGCGGAGCCTTGTCGGACTCGACTTTCCCCTTTCAAGTGAACCATTCGTTAACTGTTAACGAATATTTATTGGTCACATTCAACTCTACCATTTGTTAATAGTCAACGAAGCTCATTTGAAATAAATAAATCATTCTATTACACTGTTAAAAAAGCTTATAAAATTACTACACTTTTGCTGCATCAATGTGCAGTAAAATTACAAATTCAGTACTAGAATTGTTATTTGCTACATTTTTGCATGAATTTTGCAGCAAATATTTGGAGTTTTACTGGAATATATGCGGAAATTACTGCATTCGGATTGTAAAATTACTTTCGTGTGAAATTTTTTCAACAGTGCAGTGCAGGAACTAGTCTGAGCAGAATATTTCCTAGACTCTTTCATTAAAAAAAACGGGGGGACGCGACATAAAAGGCGAGACGAGGGGATTTTTTTTTCTCTCTTTTTTGTTCGAACACCCTTACTGTTTGGCGGGTGTTGAGCGAACATTCTTGAGCTCCATCTCTTTGTTAGCAGCGTTGTTCTTCTCGGCGTTGTCCTGGGCATTGGGCGGTGGACCAGCACCAGCCTGTGGATTGAGCGGTCTCGATGATGGTAGAGTTGCGGTGTTATCGTTACCCGAGGCCGCCTCCACCTCAACAGTAGCCACTTTGCAGTCACCACCGCCCACCATTTTTCAAACAATGTCACTCGTGTCTTGTTATCAACTGGAACTGCACTTCTGGGGGATGGGGAATTTACTTGTTTTCGTTGGAGGGAAGAGAGGAATTTCGGGGGCGATGGTGATGGGGTGGGCGTCAGCCCCGAGAATCGACCGCCATTTTGGTGAACGCGATGACCCACCCTTTGCAAAAAAATGTTTAAACTATTTTATTTTATTTTGAATTTTCTCCAAGTCAAGGAAATTGCGATGACAATAGCGTAATTAATCAATCTACGATTTTTTACATCGATTTCGGTGCAAAATCCTCGTGAGGATTGTGTTTATCATGTTTAACGTGAGAATAAAACGATTAATCGCCCCGACAATAGCCCCCCGATTTCTTTGTTCACAATTGAATACGTTTGGCGCCACATTACGAGCACTCTCTCGCCCACCCAATCATCAACAACAGCCTCACCTCGCGATTATTCGAAATATCAATTCCCCCGATCCCATGGACTGTCGGTCGAACGGTGATCGATTCCCGGCAAGTTGCGCCCCAGACTATCCATCATCTCGAAAATTCCTCATCAACTCTTTCCTTCACTCTTCCATACCTGCGGTTCAAACGGGGCGGGGGAGGATTAATTCACCCCTTTCACCACAAACCACCCACGTCAAGTTGACACGAGTGGTCAAACACCCGTTATTTCCGACCTTTCGATATATTTGTTTGTGTTTAAATGGTAGAATCCACGATCCACCGCCCCCAGCATCCCGGAGACTGAGGGGCTCGCCTGGGTGCTCTCTTCCCGGGCCACCAGGCAGCTTTTCTTGCACAAGCGCACCAACAACCCCCCTCTGTTAACATCCCTACCATATACCACTGACTTTTAGCATTCTGTGTTTATACAACTGTGTGCACAATGCAAAAATCACCAGTTGTCTCATTATCCCCGGGTACTTTGTACAATTAAATATTTATTTATGTTCATTGTTGTCGGGCTTTTACGTGCCTTTTGAGAATTCTTTGGGGCTCTCTGGGATTCAGAATTGGGACAGATTTGCACGGTGGGAGGGGGGAATGGGAAAGGATAGAGTGAGGATTCTGCGACCCACTGACCTGGTCGATAACGACGAGGGTCACTGACCTTTCTCCTAAACTCAATTCTATTATTCCTCGCTATTTCGAGTTTTTGGATTGTCGAGACTCCGCGGGGTTTGGGCCTCATCTCTTTTTTTATGATTCCTCAGCGCGTGATGGGCCACGGGGGGAGGGCCTGGGGGTGGCGAATGTTTTTTTTTTCATTTATTTTAATTCGAGATTGCGTCGAGAGTTTGTCTCACGCACGAGTATTGATTTTGGTACAGCGGGGACGTAGGTGCTGCCGCGATTCCGTCGACACTGAACTAAAGCTCTTCTTGGTTTTTTTGGGTTTTCGGTGTGCTCGAAACCGGAAGAGAGAGCGGGGGGGGGAGAAGAGAATGGGGGGTTGATCACGGAGGAAATCATTGAAACACTCGACTGGGAATTAGTGATGCCGGGTGAAGGCAAGAGAATAAGACGAGACAAGAGAATGCCCAGGGGAGTGAGACGTCTGTTATGATTCCAACTATACACTGTTAGATAATTTTAAATTCTTGAAATTTGAAATAGAAAGACTTGAAATTTTTAAGAACACTAAATTTACATGAAATTTATCTCCATTTTGGTACTGAAAAATCAGGGAATTTCTTTGAATATTCAATGAAATTCTAATTTCAGGGTTCATACGGCAACGAAAATTATCGAAAATAATAAAAAAATTCTGGCGATTACTTCACGGAATTCTCAGTTTATTGAAAATTTAATTAAATTTAATATTTAATTTTCAAGATGAATGGGAACTTTAAATCGATTTAAGCTCCACAGCATTGAGAATTCAATTGCAATCGTTACTGGGAATTGAACAAATTTCTAACAGTGTATGACCCTTGTGAACCTTCTAACGCTTCTGAATCTTCTGAGTAAGCGAATGCGGAGAAACAGTGGTCAAACCGTTTGAATAGTGTAGGAAGTTTATGATACTTAAGCATTTTATAGTCCGCAACTGACGATTTTCCTACCGAATTTATCTCGTGTCACATTGCTGAAAAGAACGACATTCCATGGGCTAGTAATTATCAAAAGAGTGATATGGAATTTCATTTAGGGGGAAAAATCCGGACCTAACGATACGATTTGAATTAATTTGAATTTTGGAACTTAGAAGAATCACTTGGAAATGAAAATACATCGAGGAATTTTACTCTGCATTCGAATAGTAATTCACAGGAGAGTAACATTGAATTCGATTTAGAAGGAAAGAAAATCTTTACGATTTCAGTGAATAAACTTTAGGATCTCACAGAAAATTCAATGGAATTTCACATTTTTAACAGCAGCAAGACGAGATTCGTAAATTATTAACGAATGGTTCACTTGAAAGGTGAAAGCCGAGTCAAAGGCTTCTCAAAGATGCATTTCTTAACTATTAATGAATGAACATTTGGTGCGACTGAATAGACCCCAGTCTCCAATCAAATCCATTTGTTAACAATAACTAATCCTTTCTATCAGTAAACATCCTTGGATTTCAAATCCAAACCTGAAATTCAGTTCAGATTTAATTGATTCTTCCATAAAATTTGTATTTCCAACGAAGAAATTGCTTGAAATTTCAGGGGAACTCAAATGTGATACAAATTTTCCAGAAGTGTGCTGGAATTTTCAGTAAAAAATTTTGAACGGTGGATTAAAAATCACGATTTCTCCAGTTATTTCTTGACATCAAGGCCCAGTCCCTCGGGCGCACCCGGTATTTGGTCTTGGATAAACTCCTGAGGCTTTTTCGGGGCTCGGGTTTATGAGGCGAATGATGGATTGATGGAGTTTGCGGTACTTACTTGGCATTTTTTGGAATGCTCGGGTACATGTAGCCGCCGTGGGCGGGGGTGAGACAGAGGGGAGCAGCGTTGATCGAACTCTGAGGTACCAGGGGCTGTCTCGCGTGTGCCGGAGACGTGTGGGAGCCATATCCATCGGAATTGAGCTGTGGGGAAATGATGGAGGTTAATTGTTGCTGAAAAGTTTTTTAGGAAAAAAAAAGTCAATTTGTCGACACAAGAATTAGATTATTTTTTATTAGGTTGAGGGAGGTATATTCCAGTCATGAGGAGAATGGAAAGTTTTTCGTCGATTGATTTTTTCAAGATTCAAGATTTTTATTTCTCCCTCTTAATACTACAGTACATACTGTTTGGTATCGGTTTACAGCCTTCTCCTCTCCAAAGAAATAAACATTTACAACAAAACATTAGAATAGAAAAATAAATTTTTTTTTGGTTGATTGATTATTTTGTGAATATCCTGAAATTGAAGGCATTGAAAATACCGAAAAACCGTTCTTGTAGCTCTTCAGATTTCATTTTTTAAATTGCCTTTCAACATTTTGCTCTAGACCCAGGAGTTTCGAAGATAATTGTACAGTAATCCTCACTTGACTGATGCATAATGGAATTGATATTTGAAGAATTTATTATTTTGTCAATATTTTTGGAGTCGAGAAGTTTGCGAAAAATTGTTTGACATTTTTGTAAGAAATTTCAAGATCTACAAAAGAGTTCTTCTGACGCTTCTTTATTAAATTGACGAAGTAATCCTATCGATAAAATATGAAATTTTCGTGAAGTTGTTTTATATCGAAACAATTTATATCAAAATATATGGAAACTTCCTCACCGTTAATTCTTCAAAGTCACAAATTATTTTCTGCGTCGTAATTGCCAATTTTATCATGTTTATCATGCGGGAAATCGATTGATTCTTCTTTCTTGGATTTTTATTCATTTCTTCGAATGGCATAAATTTTATTCTCTTCCATTTCATCGGCTAGTAATTATCAGAAGAGTGATATCACAAAACATACAAAACATCTTTCTCATTGATTTAGTTTTTTTGTATCATCCATTTTGTAATGCAATTCATAAGTGCACTGATAGAACGGTTTAGTCGAACCAAACTAGACTTTTTAACTATTACCACGATTTGTTAATTATTAATGAATCGCGGTAACAGTTAAGAAGCCTCGTTTGGTGCAACTGAATCCTTCCATCTTTTCTATCAGGGTGGATGAAATTTAATACATTCGAAGTCTGAATGAAGAAAAGTAAGCTTCTCACACACAAAAAAAACAGCTTTATTGTAAGATTTATAATCTCAAATTGAGACTTTCAAACGTATCAACTTAAATCTCTAAAAGTCTCAACTTGGGACTTTGAAAATCACAAATTAAAATCCTCCAAACTTGAGATTTTCAGATGAATTAAATTGAGACGTTAAAACTTCAAATTGAGACTTTCGAAACTCTCAACTTAAGAATTTCAGGTTTCAAATCACGACTTTTATAAAAAAAATATTTAAAAAAGATACTTCTGAAGATTTTATATTAAGACCTTTGAAATCTTAAAATAAGGCATCAATTTTTTGGATGCAAGTTAATGAGATGATATACAAGCGCGTGTGAGAGAGCACGCACGTCCGATTTGATGAATAAAAAAAGTGCACACTGGATAGGGAAAACTACCGGTGCAATCTACCTTACCTCGGGATCATTTACCTTGACCACGGTGCCGATCAAGGAGTCGGGAGGCATTTCAGGTGGATCAGGTATAATACCAGGATTGGCGTGTGCCGGGTAATCACTATTTATGTTAGCCTCCTTAACCGGTGTACCACCATCGAGACGCTCCATGTCGAGGCTGTCCGTTGGTGTTGGCTGCGAGAGCAGACGCTCCTTCATCTCGTGGAGGTACGGGCACCGTTGCATCTCTTCACGATCGATATGTCTCCGATTATCTGGAATCAATTGATAACTCAGTTAATCGGGCAATTATGCGCCAAAGGATGATGAACTGATTCGATCAACGATTGATTCGATTATGGAAAATGCTAGTGATGAAGAGATAATCGAATTTTGCAGGAAAAACGTTAAGGATATCCCAGTGTCTTTTACAGTTTGGTACAGACCATACGGTAGATTTAACCATTTTTCATCATCAAATTTGTCAATTAGCTGGCGGGAAAAATTTTTTGAAAAAAAATCGAGTATTCAGCGTTATTCAAATTACATTCTACACAGAATTATTATTTTTTTATACATTCGTTATTCAAGGTAATGAATTTGTTACGATTACGAAGAAATAATTTTTATGGTGGAAAATTGATTGTTTATAAATTATTTATAGAAAATGCTCGTAATTGTGAAGAATTCCAATCTTTCCTCAAAAGTAATATTTCTAATTTTTTTTCAGATTTTTAGAATGTTTTTTAATGATTTAATACCGAGATTCAAATTCAGATCTGCAAAGTTTGAATAATAAAATCATTTTAAAATGTTCAAAAACTTGGGGTCCAATGGGGCTCAATGAAAGCTCTGATTTTCGATTACAAATTAGAAAAGCATTTCACTGGAGAAAAAACAGTTTACAGACCACACTATAGATTTAACCGTTTTTAATCAACAAATTTGACAATTAGATTGCGGGAAAATTTTTTGAAAAAAATCATGAGTATTCAGCGTTATTCAAATTATATTTTACACAGAATTATTATGTTTTTACACGTTCGTTGTTTATAAATAAATAATTGGAATTGTTTAAACATCAAATCGATTTCTGGTAAAATTCTGAATATGAATAAATTTATTACAATTTTAAGCAAATGATTTTTATGGTGGAAAATTAATTGTTTAAAAATTATTCATAGAAAATGATCGCAATTTTAAAAAATTGCAATTCATTAATTATTTCATCAATCTTCCTTCAAAAGTAAACTTTCCAATTTTTGTTTAGATTTTTAAAATGTTTCTGACGGTTTAGTATCGACATTCAAATTCAGATTTGCAAACTTTAAGTAATAAATTCATTGTAAAATGGATTTTTCTCCGGAAATTTCGCATTTCACTGGAGAAAAAAAATTGCCAAAGTACTTGGATATCCTTAACTTTATTCACTTGATCTAAGATTCCACTTCCTCATGAGTAAATCCATCGATACTCAGCACTGGGTTTTGATAATTGTGGACAGGAAAGTGGAGACACGTTTGCTTTTATATTCGACGACTCGATGAGGTGAACAGTCACGGGAATACATGACCCACACCTGTCAATCATTACTCGTATTTCGTGCTTGTAAGCTTTCCGGTTAGGTGAGCCAGGATACTCAATATGTTCAACGTATTTTGGGAAATTTGATTGCATTCAGCTACTGGAATTTTACTTTCAATGAGCTCTTAATCATTGATTGACTTTGAGTATCGAGTTACTTGGGATTTATTCAGTCGTGAAGTCGTGGAGGTATTTTATCCGCAAGACACATGTTGAGGATTTTGGAAATACTTTGATAGTTAAGAGGTTCAGGGGAATTTATAGGAATTTTTTATTTATTATTTTCATGCCATGATTTTTATTGCTGAATAGGCGAAGTTTCAACAGTAACTGATAATTAAACAGACTAGAGCGATGAGAGTATTCGTGAAATAAAAACGTGGAATTCACGGAATCCTTAAATAAAAATGTACTACTTTCGTAATTTCAGAATACAAAAAATTATTAATTAAGAATTGAACATTCTTAATGAAGCAATCAAATGGAGAATCAAGAACAATTAATAAATATTCACAAGAATTCAATTCCTGGATGAAAAATTTGCATTCCTCAATTAAGACTTTCAAAATTCTCAATTCAAAAATCTAAAAATCCTCCAAGTACGTGAAATATTCTGCATTTTTTAAATCAATATCTCTGAAATCTCAGGTAAATATTTTCATAAACGGAAAATGAATACATAAATAAATGAATACACAAATGAATAAATAAATTACTGATAAATAAAATAAATAATAAATTTTTAGATAAATATTTTCCCTCAACAATATCCCCAAAAATAATCTCCCCCTAAATTTCTAATTCCTCCCTTTCCATCACCTCATCCCCAAATTGAGTTCGATAATCAACAATTAACAATCAATTACTGCCCTGCCCTCATCCACACTAAATTGTTTCCTAACAAACACTAAATTAATCATTCAATTACACGAAACAAAACCAATGCCCGCTAATTCCAGTGAACCGAAGTCCTCCACAAGCGAACAATTACCGCAGAGCAATGACCCCTCCAAAAATCCACCAATTACCCCCCCAATCCAATAAAAAAAAGCCTCATCAAATCGTGCAGACTCTGTCGTCGATACGGCAGATTCCTCCCCGCATAACGACTCAGTAGCAAGTGATATTTATCTCGTTGGGGTAGTGATATGAGAGTTTATTCACCCCCTGGGTAAAGACGCGGGGATTACCGACCTACCCGAAATCCTTTCACTCCGTCGCGACTCGATATCTTCAGCAAAATAAACCCTCCTGATCCTCTTTCCCCCGGGCTTCTCAATTTTGACAAAAATTTTATGATATCACTAGACTACAGAATAATCCAAATCCCCCCTTAATCCTATTGTTTCGCAGAACTATTCGTTACAAATTTTCCATTCTCCGAGGCGAAGGGAATTTCAACGATTTCAATTATTTATTTTTACTTCAGTTGAAAAATATTATTTAGGATTATTTAGGTTTAGGCGTTGAAATTGTGCGTTTGAGTGGAAAATATTTCGCATCGGCGTCTCGACGCTAACTGTTGGCTCGAGCGACGCCTACTTCATCTCCAACACAACCAGCCCTTCACAACCGCACGTATATTTAGCCTAGAAGCGCGCGGTCAGCCTTAACCCATTTCAACTACTGAGATGAAGTAAATACCATCGACACACACTCCCCCGCGAATGCTTTCCCAGAATTTTCCTCCCCCCCCAAGACCATTGATTTAATGATTTAAACGACAGCGCAGTGAACGGAGCCTTTTTCATAAAATAAATAATGAAAAAAGTGGGTTAAGATTTTTTCCAATGGATTTCCCCCAATTTCCCGTGTCTTCCATTGTTGTCGAGATTTTTCATTAAACTCGCGGGGAGTAACTGGGCCGTGGGAATCGATGCGCGACGAGTTGTTTAATGACGAGCGAGAGCCAATCCCCGTTTTCCTGGGTATGAGGCACGTCAGAAACAAAAGAATTCTTAATGAGTGCACTTCTCATCCCTTGGGAATAAATTACTCCGTTTCGCGAGGGGGGGGGGGGATTTGTTATTAAAATTCAATCCTAAATCCTGGGAATTGTGTAGCGCACTGGAATTTTAAACAAAATTCGAGTGGCGTGGGAAACCAGTGGAGTGAAAATAACAATATTTTGGGATTTCCTTGAAATAACGATCGAGAAGAATGTTGTAGTTGAAAATTGACCTGATTAGTGTCCGTTTTTGGGAAATAATTGAACTGAAGTTTCCAATTTCCATTGATTTTTCTAGAAAAATTTGAATTTTCAATGATAGAATTCTTCAAAATTTCAGTGGGGTAAAAATTCCCAAGATGTACACCAGAAATTTCAGTCAAAAATTGTTCGTTTTACTCGACTCCACGGATTCCCCCCCCCCC